CCTATGAATGAATATTCTGAGAAAGAAGCTCCAACAGATTCTTTTGCAGGGCTGACTAACTGATCAAAACTTCAATGGTTCTGTGGAGCAGATGAAATATTGCAGGTCCAGAGCCTAATTATAATTTGGGAGGGTGAACCCTTTAGCCCTCTAATTAGCAAGTCCCTGTCCACCTCCATGTGGTAACATTCTGTAACTAGCAGAAATTGACTGGGGTCAGTAGAAGTTGAAATTCTTAATATTTAGAGCTATTCAAAGAAGCACTGTCTGTCTCCTGAGATACTGAAGTATATGAGTAGGATGGAATTATTGTACATGATTGTTGCATTGCAAACTAAGTATTAGAGGATTCTGGAAAGTGAGTGGAAATGGTTTCTAATATTATTTTCAACCTTGTTAAGCTTAAAATCATTAATATACCAAATTATTCTGTGTTGGTTGTCTTCATGGAGGATATTGATATCAAACTTAAGGGTACATCCTGTGCCCCAAGCCAGGTTAAGTGTCCTCAATAAGTAATTACAAGAGCCAAAACAATAGAAAAAAATCAGAAAATAAGCAACTTTCATGAGTTTCAGGAACTTTCTGAAACTTCTAAGGAATGTTTTAATTTCAAGAAAATTCCTGTACAACACTATCCTCAATTTCAGTTTAATACTATAGAAATGGCTTTGTATATAAAATTTCACTTCTGAGTTAACTGGTTTAAGCTGCAACTTTCATTTAGATTGGTTTTCTTGGATGATATCTCTTATTGCATTATTGCTTCCTTTGTCACAAGGTTTAAAGAATTCCCCTTTAGTCACTTCCCACCTGCTTTTATTGCCCTCTCATCCCCTGCTTTGGGTTGAATCAGGCTCACACCCCCTTCAAATTCTTATGTGGTCTAATCCCGAGCTGATTATATTTACCAAATGCCTATCCAGTGTTAATTAAGGTCAAATTAGGTGAGATTCTGAGATGATGAAAATAATGTCCTTAGAAGCGAATCCAGAGAGGGAGCTCACTTATCCGGTTCTCCATTCATATGAGGAAGAGGTAATGTAAGCACATAGTAAAATGCTATGTGTCCATATAGCAGGTTGGAAGCCTTCACCAGAACCTCACCAGACTCTCACCCTCATCTCAGGCTTCTGTTGTTTAAAACATGTTTATATCTATATTAACATTTTTTTAAAAAAAAGCAGTGTCCCATAATCTATATCATTGTTTAGTTAGTCACTTGGGTTCTTTTCTTTTTTAAGTTTGAGAAATTAAGTGGAAGGATCTTTATATTGGGTAACCTCATCAAAACATTTACTGCCTCATCATAGTCTGTGCATTCCACAGTGATCCACTGCCAGATTCTACCTCTCCTACAGGCAGAACAGACCCTCTTACTACCTGTTGAGCCCCCTCCCCATCGCAGCTGTAGCCAATTTGTTCCAGCTATTTCATACTGTTGTTGTAATATGCTTGCTAGTCATTGACACAGAAAAATAACTTGACTCGGGAACAAACTCATTCTGATCATATATATATTGATATGTTCTGTATGAGGTTTGTTAATCTTAAGAAATTCCAAAAAGCTTTACATAGAACCCATCAAATTAAAGGTCAAAATGAACTGTTATGTCTTGAGCCAGAGCTGACCACCAGGCAGCACTTCCTGCACCTGTTTATGATCATTGTGGTTTCTGCAGTTTTAGACTTTATAAGCTGACAACAAAAGATGTTCAGGGTCTTAGCCTTAGCCCCAAATTTCGAGGTCTTAGCCCAAAACTTCCTTGCTAACATTTCTATTTTGGTCCAAACACTAAAAAGTTTGGTGAAGATTAGCTCTCAAGACTTAACTGACCATCGTCTCTTGAAAGTGCTCAGTTTAGGGGAAAGGATGCAATAAGTTCTTATGTACAAAGTTATGAGAGGAGTTCATTCACAAGGAGTCTTGGCACAGCTTCCAGGATTTATTTCTTTTTGATAAAATAGCAGAAGGTGAGTATAATAAATAAAAAAATAATTCCCCTGTTTCTTATTTATCTATCTATCTATATCTATCTATCTATCTATCTATCTATCTATCTATCTATCTATATCTAAATGTCACATGGATTCCTCATATCAACAATATGGTTTAAAAAAATACCATAATGTACTTGATTACTTGATGCCACACATATGTTATATATGGTTATTATCCAAAATCCTGCAGAATAATACATGAACAATATTTCACAACTGAGGATCAGCAACCCTGCCTAAAGAGTCGAAATTCAACTGTCAAGAATGTGGCTAAGGTGATAAGATCAAACTGCAATCTGACTTTTGCCCTGCTCCTTATATTGAAATGTAGTAGGATAAGTGGAAGAAGGAGAGACATACCAATTCAATAAGAGAATCTTGGTGCCAGCAACTGTGCATGGGATTTGTTTCCTTGAAGTTCAAAGGCAAAAAAATAAAAAGAATATCAAAAACAAAACAAAATATCCCACCATCAACAACAACCTTCCTTATAGTAAATGAAAGCAGATAAGTAGTATATGTGTCAAGGGCTGGGAGGAGAGAAACATCAAAATTTTTAATGGATAATTTATTTATTTACAATACATATGTCATCCCCTTTCCCCATTTCCCCTCCCTAGAACCCTCTATCCCCCCTCCTCCTTTTTGCTTTTATACCATTTTGATTACATGTATGTATTAAGGTCAGTTCTATGTTGAGTAACTAGCAATACAATAGATGCAAATAGTCAAGGAATAAGCAATACAATAAACACAAATAGTCAAAGAAAAAGCAAGGCATTAAACCCAATTACATGAATACTCCCATGATTACAGTTTCTAAGGGCTTATGAGAATGATCAAAGTATCTGAGCCTACTTACCTGTCCTAGCCCAAAGTCATTTTCATGTCTGAAGCCTACTTCCTTGTTCTAGCCTAAAATTTAGATTCCTGTCTGAAATTACTTCCTTGTTCTAGACTAATACTTAGGTTCCTGCCTGAAATTTAAGGGGGAGAGGGGGAGAGCTTTTGGGGCTGCTTGGCAAGAATCTGACATGGGCCAAGGACAAGGAAATGGGCTTCAGGCAGGAATATGACATTGGCCAAGGATAAGGAAGTAGGCTTCAGGTAGGAATCTGACATTAGGCTAGAATAAAGAAGTAAATTCAGACAGGAATCTAAATCTTAAACTAGAACAAATTTTCTTCCATTTCTAGACTTAAACACATACTCATGTATACTTGCCAAAACAGAAGGGGTTATTTGGATAAAGACATCTGAATAAAGTAATAGCAAAGTAAATTTGAAAGACTCAGTAAACACAGCTAATACAGAAAACTGCACAATGCAATGCAGGCTAAACTCAGCTGTCACAAAACAGACTGCTGCTAGAGAGTTTTCACTTCCCAACATAAAATCATAGTGCTATAATGATAAGCCAAATCAAGTAGGTCATGACTTTTTCAAGAATTGACTTCCTTACGTCCCTCAGAGCCTTTAAAACTGTGTGTGGAGAGCACCTCAAGTGGTGACCTGAAAAGAAGTATAACTCACACTCCCACACAGACTTTTTAGAGACACGGTCTCACTATGTAGCCCTACCATCCGGGAACTCACTATAGAGATCAGACTAACCTTGAACTCATGGAGAACTGTCTTTTTTTGTGTGTTCTGGGGTTAAGTGCACCACCATTCCTGGCCACTCCATTTTAAGGCTGGAAGCTCTGATACCAGCTGAAAAATGCCATGGAACTGAGCAGCAGGCATACCTGATAAATAAAAAAGTTGGATATTAAGACACCATGGCTCTGTAGTTGTGACATTTTAGAAAGTCTCCCACATCCATAGCCTTCAAGGAAAGGCAAATCAAAACTTCATTGAGATTCCATCTGTCCTGAGTTACTGTCGTTGAAGCCAAGCAATTGTCATCTTAGGGAGCTCAGTTGCACCTTACACTGACCCCTTGTAAAAGACCATCCCTGCTGGACTTGTTGATGGCTTATACATCCTTTCCCCACCCCACACCTATAGAAGATCAGAGTAGGGCATAAGATTTTCCAGCTGATTCCTATCAATTGTTAAGTCTTCATGTAGTCTGAGGATAGGGCTAGAGTGTAATTGACCAGGGAAGACTGGAGTAGGGCTCTATCTATGCAGCTACATAGAAACTCTCATCCCTGCTGAGTAAGGCTTTTTAGGTAGTGATGGTGGTGGAGTGCCACACCCCTGAAGGCAATCCCTCCCCTAGTTTCTGTATGGAAACCCAATAAACTCACTGGTTTCCCCGAGTGAACCATGGTAGAATTATGCCTCCATTTGTTGCTGGGACCTTAGTAAAAGGAGTAGATGTTGCTTTATGTCTTCCCCTGCAAAGGAATGTTGACAAAACCATGTTGCCCTAGTGAGAATGACTAATAAAAAACAGAACATGGCCGACTGGACAGTGGTGGTACATGTCTTTAATCCACCAATTGGAAGGCAGAGACAGGTTGATCTCTGAGTTTGAGGCTAGCCTAGTCTAAAATGCAAGTCCATGACAGCTGGGCTCTGTTACACTGAGGGGAAAAAACATGGCAAGAATGCACAGAAAAAGGAATTATATACACTTTATGTGGGGATGGAAACCTAGTATAGAAAGAAGTATGACCATAAAATCTATCCATACTATCTTAGATACATACTTATGATAGTTAATCTGTGTTGTCCACTTGATTGAATCTGGAATCAACTATCAGACATCTTTTTGGGCAGGTCCAAGGAGACATTTCTAGGTACGATTTAGTTAAGGTGGAAGACATACCTTAAATCTTACCAGTAGCAAACAGATGAAGGAGGTCCAAGAGAAAAGCTCTCATTTCTTCATCATTGCTTTCATGGTTCACTGGCAAATTCATCCTACTGCTGCTGCCACTGCTACTGCTCTCACTGATGTTACTTTCCTTCACTGATAGAAGAACCCAGATGTAGGAGGAGCTAAGGTGGGAGGAGTTAGGAGAGGAAGAGAAAAAGGAAGAGGAGGAGCTAGGGAGAGCAGAGATGTAGGAGGAATGGAGAGCCGCGCAGGTATGAAGAGCAGTCCTGGGTAACAACTTTTATTTAGGTTAGCTAATTGGGAAACAACTCTCTTTTTATGGGCATATTGTTATTGAGCATTACCAAACATATAAAACCTTTGGTTAATCTTTAAGCATTAGAGTCTCCTTTTATTACTGGGCCCGCATGGATTGCACAATGGTCTGGGCAATGCCCAGCCTTTCAGAGACAGCATTGAAGATTGGCAGAGCCATCTCGTGGTTGGCAGGGCTGGTGTTTCTGGATGGCCATTTCTAGCTGTGGTGTGCACTTGGCCTCTGGCCATGGAACATGGTGGCTGAGCTAGGCAGAGCCGCTGCAGCTTAGTCAGCTTGACCAACGGCCGTTTTTAAAATAATTACTTCAACACCCAGCTTCTCCAGGCTTCTAATGTGGAGTAAAGAACAGCAGCTCTCCAAAGATCTTTCAGGTCTTCCATCCCAGATTGTAACTGCTGGGGTAACCAGACTCATGGACTGAGAAGCTACTGGGCTTTCAGACTTTCCAGTGTAAAAACAGGCATTTTTAGACTACTCAGCTTATATTGTGTAAGCTAATTTAACACCCCCACTTTACTATATTTATTTATCCTATCAGATTTGTTTCTCTAGAGAATTATGAATAATATAATAGTCAAAGGAAATGAAGTGAGCATATAAAAGATGGTTACAGGGCCTTTTATAATGCAAGAGTGTTCTTGGTACTCAAGGATGAACTTGGGTGGCCATGGACAGATACATAGATTTAAAATATGGAATTTTATGCAGCTGTAAGGAAAAAATCATGTTATTAGCAGAAAAAATAATGGAGCTATAAGTTTATAGAAACTGGGCAGACAGAGAAAGAAAAGTAGTGTACATTTTCTCTCATGATTGGAAACTTAAAACTATAGACTAAAAATAATGATTGCACTAATGTTAGCAGAAAGAAGTAGTGCAGAACATGGGTATGCTCAAAGTACAGTGTAAGCATACGTGGAAATATTAAAGTAAAACCTGTACATTTATACTTTTAACATAAGTGAATACAAATTTTAAAATAATGTCCATGATGGTAATGTAAAGAGTAAATAAACCATCTCACTTGTTCATAGGCAAAAATTGATTGAGGATTCTCATCATGTAGGTACCAATTGCCAATACTACATGAGTAATCTGGAGAAAACCACTCAATTCCTTTGACTCTCAGCACCTCCAGGGGTAAAATCACTGTTGGCAATACTTGAAGAATCAGGGGCCCACTAACACTGCCCACGTTCTGCAAAGCAGACATTATATGGTAAGTTGAATCATTAAGCAGCTATCACATTTCCAGGGAAATGTATTAGTAACGGTCCTTTCAAAGACCAAAAAGGAACAGCTAGAGGGGTCTGAACTTGGATGACAATAATATATTCACATCAATTTGCAGCATATCATGATGGTGTCAGAGATTGATGGTCTTTTTCCTCTAGTTTTATCTCCATTACAGGGAGAGAGAAACAGTCAGATTTCATGAAGCTGAAATTTATCTGCTGCTTAGGTGCCTGAAAAGACACTAAATGCCTAGAAGATTTTTGTGAACGAATCACAAATTCATTTTTGGTTTTGCTAGCTACTGTCAAACTGTGGGAGGCATAGGCCTTAGGGAGTGTGAGGGATTGACAGGTCTATATCTGCATCTCAGAGGTGGAAGAGGTCTGTTTCATTACCAACTGGCTGATTCCAAAGATCGCCGCATTCTTAGAACTAGTTCATGTCCTTACATTAGCTATATCATCATTCATGGTCAGTCCATTACTGTTGATTAGCATACATTAATCTCAATAAAAAATTTTCTTGAATGTAGAGTGACTCACCCTCAATGGCTGTGATTTTGTGTAATTACAAAATGTGATTTCCCGCAGAAAAGGCTGAATTGCATTTAAGCAGCTGAAGAGATGATAGAAACAGAGAAGAATGAATTACTTGGAGACAAAGTGAAGCACTTTGTTACTAAAGGACACCTGAATTTGTATCTTCTAGAGAGTACCTAATAAATGGTTGACTAACTCATTATACACAGAAAATTACAATTTTTGCATACTCATTTGCATAATCCCAGGTTATATGTTCTTTTTAATCACTATATATCATTTATTCTTATATATGGCATATGATGTCATTTATTTTATATATAAAATATTTATGTCCGGGTGTGTTTTTCCTTCAAAGTAAAAACATATACTAATATTCATGATTAATCATGTTTGTTCATTTTAGTAAAAATAATTAAAATATTATTAATAGTAAAGCTTTCTTAGGATAATGGAAAAGTAAAATAAGCCTCCTCTTTGCATCTTCCCATTCATTTTAATACCACATTAATAGAAAAGTTTAAAAATAACCCACAATTTTACCTGAACACATATTAGAAGTGGGATTTATGGGCTATAATAATGGCACAAGGATCTAAGGATGATTCCTTGAACTTGCTCTTAAAGGTTAAGCGTGGTAGCACTGGAACATGCTTGGAATTTCTCCATTAGGGAACTGAAGGTAGTCTGATCCCTTAGGTTTACTGTATTACAAGCTGAGCCTACTTGAGAGAGTCCCAGGATGAGACTGTCTCATAAATGGTCCTTCACATTTCTGACTATTGTAAATGAGTCTGGAATGAACATGGATGACCAAGAATGTCTACAGTAGGATAGAGTCTACAAAGGATAGAGTCCTTTGGCAATATCCCCAGGAGTGGTATAAATGGATCATATGGTAGATATATTTCTAGCCTTCTGAAGAATCTTCACAGTGACTTCCATAGTGGGTGCAACAGTTTGCACTACCACCAGCAATAGATGTGTGTTCCCCTTTCCCCACCTTCATGCCAACATTTGTTATCCAAATAATAAAAATTTGGTACATATAGATGATGGAATATTATTCAGAAGTAATAAAAATAAATTTTCAGATAAAGATGGAGTTGGAAATAATCATTAAAACAAGTACCACATATCCTTTCTCACATGTGGATACGAGATTTAAATCTTTAGATATATATGTTGAAATTGGAGTAACCACAGAAATCAGAAAACTAGTAAGGAGCCATTGGGGATAGATATTAAGGGAAGGATATAGAGCATAAATCATGTAAAGTAGAAAAGATGGAATAGTGGAATAGGAAGACTTAAATGGGTTTGAGAAATGGGAGTTCAGAGTAGAAGAAGAATTGTGGAATGCATAACTAATGTTTAATACCTTTGGAATGTCGTATGGCAGACTACTACTATAGAAGCTTCCTAAAATATATGTACATATATTTTATACACAAAGGAGTGTAAATAGACTTAGGTCATAACAAGAATACAAAGCCTCTCTCAGACACCATAGGCTACCAAATACAAAGCCCAGTGACATGTATGAATTACCTGTTTTGAGTTATTGCACTCTAAAGTCTCATTGATCTCTATAAATCTAAAAACTATTGCTTTGGCTCTTATCTGTCCTCCAGAACTTGATGGTAAGCCCCAACTGCTGAAGACACTACAAACTTGACTAATAGCGCATGGAGAAATCAAGCCACAGCCTCGAAGCTTCATCCGTCCTGACTAAATTTCAGATGGCAAGAAAGTGTTCTGCACCATACCAGAGGAGAAAAGTGATCAATAGTCTTACCTAACTGTGAACGCTTAAAATTATGATAATGTTTCATCTGGCTGGTACATACAAGAGTGGCATGGGTGTTACAGCAGTAACTAGTTACTTTATAATTGGATATAAAGCCAGCCTGTTCCACCAGAGAAAACTCATAACTAGTACAATTAACTGAGCCAAAAATTCCATTTCTATACAAGTCAATAGCCAGAGTCCTTAGAGAAACTTTGGTTGTCATTGTTGCTGTTGTTTCAGTTAATGGTAATTACTACAGACACATACAACTGGTCAGCACACAGGGAATGTCACAACTCTTCACTGCAAGGCTTGGGGATCATCATGGAAGAGGGTGCAAAAAGAATGTAAAGAGTGTTAAGAGCCAGAAGTAGCAGATGTCCACAATGTCACAGCATTTCCTGGTCATGACTAGGATATTGCATACCTGAACTCTTAGCAGCTGTGATTGTATGTACAAGTGAAATTATCAAATAAGCTAAACTTCTAGCACAGATATGGGGTAGCCTATGACGTCTCAGGCATTGCTGAGAAGCTACAGTTAGTTGATGGTTTGTAGCGGAGGTAATGTCAATTTTATTTTGGAATGTGACCACTGAGAGATGGTCCTACACTCATGTTCAGTAGGTGCTTGTAGATAACAGTGAGCAGACCCAGTGGATTTTTCAAAGAGACTACGAAGTTAAAAAGAAGTGGTTGATAAAGAGGAGAGGAGCGGGGCTGGAGAGATGGCTCAGCGGTTAAGAGCACTGACTGCTCTTCCAGAGGTCATGAGTTCAATTCCCAGCAACCACATGGTGGCTCACAACCATCTGTAATGGGATCGGATGCCCTCTTCTGGTGTGTCTGAAGACATCAAAAGTGTACCCATAAATTAAATGAATAAATAAATCTTTAAAAAAAAAAAAAAAAAAAAAGAGGAGAGGAGCTTGAGGGAAGGGAATGAGAAATAGATTTGTTCAAAACACATTATATGAATATATGGAATTCTCAAACAATAAAATGTTTAAAAGAGTGAATTGTCTGAGATTTTACTCTGACCTCCACACACACACATATACATACACATACACAGATTCTCAAAATATAAATATTAGATCTATAAATGTTATTTTTTCATGTTAAACTTAATCATTGTGTAAGTAGCATCAAAATTTTTGGCTGATTTCAAAAGTATTAGCAAATACAAAGTACCTAATGCACCATCAGGTGTGAAGGTTTGTTATAATTCTGGCTATTTTGCTTCCTAATAAATTTATCTTCAGTAAAAACCTCAAATACATAACTCATAAAATTAAAAACCAAAACAGCCTCTGCCTCTAGAATGACCTTTGAAAACAAAAAACATTGTTCCTCACAGAGCCCCATCACAGCCTGTCATATTTCTCCCTTTTTCCTTTCAGAAAGAATCATATATACTCTGCCTCAGAGCTCTGAAATAAATGCAAGCAAACAAAACAAAAGATTTCCCCATATGTCAGGAAGCCATGCTCAAATGATTAGAGTGACCATAAAGCAAGAGAAATAAGGGGCATGGTAGGCAATAGTGAAGGCCTACAATCAGCCATAGGCCTAAAATCAGCAATAGGCCTGTCATACATGTGTACTAACACCAAGTCTTGGGTCTCAGTGGAAAAACATTGAAACAGATGGCTATAAGCTAATGTAAACAGGCAGCTTTTGTGGAAATTTATAAGCCTGAGTAGTCATAGGCCTTGTAAATAAGTAGCCTTGGCAGACAATACCAACTTAGATAAGGACAAGCGAGTCATAGGCAGAGTCATAGTGACCTGTCCCCTGAACCTTCACCCAGCCGATACCCAGTTCTGAAAGATATCTGTATTCCTCCTGAACACCCACACTCCAGTGTCATTCCCTTCCCCACATCTTGCCTTTCTGTGTTTATAACCCCTGTGTGAGTGAATTACGATTTGAGAAAAAATAAATTATTTTAAAAAAGGAATGTAAAAAAAAGAAAGAAAGAAAAAATAGAATCACAAGCATTGTTGTCAACTGAATCAAGTATCAACAAAATATGTTTTCTCTATGACTTCAGGCTATTATGGCTAATGCAATATTGTACAACTTTCCCCAAAATACCAATGAGTATATATGAACCAAAACCTTAAAATGATAGTGGAAACAAAGACTAATAGAGAACTTCACTTGGAATAATTTCTACTTAATTGGGCTCTGAAGAAATGATTGGTTTTCATCAATGACACACATCATGAACCTGAATGACAAAAAACAAAAACAAAAACAAAAACAAACAAACAAACCGAAACCAGGAATCTTTCATTTAATGTCTACCCCATAACACAGAACTTCCAGCACCTATATGGGCCTGATAATAGGAACCCTTTTCTCTCTTTCAAGGGCCTTGTGTTTTAAAGTAAACTTTGTATTACCCCATAATAGTACATATCTTTATTGAACAAATTAAGTAAACTTCAGTAACTTTTATATTTAGAAAATGTAAATATCTTTACTTTAGAATTTATAAAATTAATCAAAGGAATAATTATTACCAGAGATACCCACTATTAGCATGAAATAATATATCATTTTTTCACACAATATTCTCTTATTCCAAAAACAAAAGCCTGTTATATATGCATATGTAACTTCATATTTTGTTTTACAATTTAAATTACATAATCTTTTTTATCGAATTCTGTTGTGTTCATTTTATTTTATCTTTTACTATACTAAACTAAACTATACTGTACTATACTTTTATATTATACATTTATAATGGCACGTCTATTCCATTAAACATATTTTACATGTAAATATTCACATATATAGAAACAAATACTTGTATTTCGTCATTGCATTTTGTATGCTGGCATACAAATTTGGAACTAATCTCTCATTGTTCAGCTTTAAGAATGCTTCTTGGAGTGTCCTCCCTGAGGGTTAGCTATTATAGGAAGGTGTTATGCAAGCACTCAAAGGAGAAAAGTTAAATAGTCCTACCCAGCTGTACAGACTGCAAATAAAAATGACTGGCCTGCCAAAATATTCCAAACGGTCCAACGGTCCAATTTTGAGGTTAGCCAAAGATGTTACTTGGACTTACGGTCCATTCAGTACTAAGGTACTCATCCCTGATATTGCCAACCTAGCTAATTTTCCATGGCTAGTGAGCTAGTAACACAATGGAACATACAGAACTTACTATTGGATTTTAATAAATATATATATATATATATATATATATGTGTGTGTGTGTGTGTGTATACACACATATATATAATTTCAGATATATATATATATATATATATATATATATATATATATGTGTGTGTGTGTATGTATATACTTGTATCAACAAATAAGTGTAGCTCTCACCCCTCATCGAAAAACGTCATTTGAAGTAGACAAAAGCTTCTATAGAGATTCATGTCTGGTTAAAATGTAGAGAATAAGTGATAGTCAAAGTTTTCAGCCTGTGACTGGCACATCCACAATACAACAGCTTCAGAAAACATTAGTGAAGAGGAAGTGGGAAGACTTTGAGAGGGATTTGGGGGAATTTTAGAGGTGTTGTTGGGGGCGACAAACAGATACAAATGTTGTAAAACCAGAATATTTATGCATGAAACTCTAAAATATTTAAATACAAACTACCTGTATATATAAAAAGTACACATTTTTTAAAAATTAATTTTTCTTTGCCAATGAAGTTTGAATTAAATGCAAATGTTTGGGTGGTTGTGTTTCTTTTTATCAGTAGAATGCCAGTTGACTTCCTTGAAATTGTATGTTTCTGACTATATAAAACACAATGTATATGTAACTAGGTGACTGCACAATTTTTATTACAAGTTAAAATTGAATTCCAAAAAATAAATAAAGATTGATTCCTGTAGTTAAAACAGTTAAGAGTAGCTGCTGCTCTTATAGGGGCCCTATTCTTGATTCCCAGCAACCAAGGCAGGTGGCTCACAACCGTCTATAATGCCAGCACCAGGAGAGTCTATGCCATTTTCTGCCTCCCACAGTCAACTGCATTCATGTTCATGTACTCCACATTGACACACACATATACATAAATAAAAGTAAAAACAAGTCATAAAAGAATTGTTTTCTGTTTTCTTCCATTACTAATATTGTTCTATTGAGTTATCTGTGGCTTTTTACTTATATCCATTTTTTTGTTTTTTTTTTATTGGATGTTTTATTTACATTTCATATGTTGTCCCCTTACCCCATCCCCCACCCACCCAGGAACCCCCAATCCCCTCACCCCTCCTCCTTCTTCTTTGTGGATGTAACCCCTACCTACCCCCCCCACTCCCACCTCCCCACCCTCAAAATTCCCATCCCGTGGGGCGTCCAGCATTCATGAGGTCAAGGTTCTTTAATTTTCATTTTTATTAGCTTTAGAAAATCCAAACAATATATTTTACTCATATTCTTTCTCCTCCTCAAACTCATCCACTATCTTCCCCATCCAACATATTGCTCTTTCTCTCTCAGTAAACAGCCCAAGTCAAAAAAATCAAAAAAAAACTCCAGGAGAGAAAGAGGGACTACCAGGAGATTGAACTCAGGCAGCATCCCATGTAAGGAAAAAGCAGCACATGCCCCAAAAAGGGAACAACCTGGACCCACTGGGACCCAGGAATTCACTCCTGGCCCGGAGTGCAGGCTCCATCCTGTCTTGGCACAAGCAATCAGCAGATCCAGGGAGGCAGCTCTGCACTCAATCTCTCAGAACCCAGAGGAAGTGGGGCTCCCAGGAGCTCTAACCAAAGCAGTATCTTAAGCTAGGAGATGGCAATACGTCCCCCAAACAGGGAGCAACCAGGACCCACTGGGACCCAGGAATTCACTCCTGGCCCTGAGTGCGGGTTTCTTCCGGTCTGAGCCCGAGCACTTGGCAAATCCTGGGAATCAGCTCTGCACCCAATCTCACAGAAACCAGAGGAAGCAAGGCTCCCAGTAGCTCTAACCCAAGCAGTATCTTAGGCTAGGAAGCAGCAATACTTGCCCAAATCAGGGAGCAACCGGGACCCACTGGGACCCAGGAATCCACTCCTTACCTGGAGCCTGGGACCATTCCGGTTTCCACCTGAGCACAGAGCACATCTTGGGCCTCAGCTCTAACCCCAACAGCAAAACCCAACCCAAACAGTTCTGACACAACCTAGATAATAGGAAAGACAGGCCCCAGTCAGAGACAGCACAGATAGCACAAAGGTGATCCAGATGGCAAAAGGCAAGCAGAAGAACACAAGCACCAGCAACCCAAGGTACTTGCCATAATCAGAACCTAGTCCTCCCACATTAGAAAGTCCTGAACTCCCCATATCACCAGAAAATCAAGAACCAGATCTAAAATCACTTCCAATGATGATGCTAGAGGACTATAAGAAGGAAATAAATAACACTATCAAAAAACTTGAGGAGAACACAGGAAAACAGGATGAAGTCCTTAAAGAAACACAAAAATCCTTTAAAGAATTACAAGAAAACACAAACAAACAGATGAAGGAATTCAACAAAACCATCCAGGACATAAAAATGGAAGTAGAAACAATAAAGAAATCACAAAGAGAGACTACCCTGGAGATAGAAAACCTAAGAAAGAAATCAGGAGTCATACACACAAGCATCACCAACAGAATACAAGAGATAGAAGAAAGAATCTCAGGTACAGAAGATACATTAGAAAACATTGACACAACTGTCAAAGAAAACACAAAATGCAAAAAGTTCTTAAGACAAAACATCCAGGAAATCCAGGACA